GGAAAAGATCACTCTCAGGCATTACTGGTGGAAACATAAATTGCTATGGTGTTTAAAGAAATAAATGTGGTATTCTCTATGAATTTTTTAAATGCACCTACTTTTGATTTGTCACTCCATTTCTGAGAATAGATTCTACAGAAATAGAAGTAACAATATGAAAGGATATATGCAGAAACAATTTATTGTAGCATTGTCAGTAGTGGTCAAAAAGAGGAAATAACAAATACCCATCAATGGAAGAATTATTGAATAAATTATGGAATTATGGTGGCTTCTAGTCCAACTAGACTGAATTCCTTTTCAGTCTAGTTGGATCTGTGCCTGCTGTCCCAAAGGGATAGTCATGACATCTTAACAAACAAAACGAGTTTCAAGAAACATACAAACCCATTTGAGAAATTAAAAAGACAAAATTAATTCCCCGGGATAATATGGCCATGAAGTAGGAATGGAAGGATATATATCAAGTTATTAGTATTGTAACCTTGGATGCTCAAAGGAGAGAGAGGGAAAGAAAAAGAAGGGGTAGGGGAGTCTCAAATTGAATTAAAAAGCCATTGGAGTATAAATATTACCACAAATATCTAACCATTGAACAAGGACATGAACTAGAAACTATAAGTTAACATGAAAATGGAATATGTCAATGTATGATTACATGATTAGATTGAGTTCTTATTTGTCTTTGAATACTGTTGTTTTATATCTTACTCTCTAGAGAAATTTGGGGTTCCGCGAAGCCCTGACAAGCATAGTACCCACCTCACAGGCACTCAATTAACAGTAGCTGTTTACAAGCAGTAGAATGTTATGCCGAACTCCTCATCTTGAGACGTTTAGATGGACCCCTGGTAGCCCTGAGTTTGCCCACGTTTTAAGCCCAGATGTCATTAATATTGTGGAACTAGTTGTAAACTTGAGTCTGTAACTAGCACTGTTGAAGGAGGACCATCTAATGGTACATGCAGATTGGTGTGGTGATGGAGAGATGGTGCCTAAGTAGTCCAACTGGCTACCCTAGGACCTCAGCGAGCAGAGTCCCTGCCTTCCAGTGTCTTTACTGCTTACCCCATATCTGCCTGTTCCTTGCAGCCTAAAAGGGGAGGAAGCATGAAAACTGACGCTCTCCTCCTCGTCAGTCATGGAGGTGAGGTGGAAGTTTTGTGATAGTATGGCAGCTGCCAGTTTTACTTCCTACAGAAGTGGAATCCTTGCCCTCAACTCTGGATAAAGTTTGGAGCCTTTAACCGCCGGAACCTGTCAAGTAGGAACTTTGGCCACTTCCCCCCCAGAGTTTCTATAATTAGCATGCAGCTTGTTAAGCAGTATATGACTCACAGAGCAGGTTCGCACTGGGCTGGGTGCGAGAACGGGGCAAAGGGAAGCCTTGGAAAGTGCTGTACTTTTGAATCATCTTCCTTAGTACCTAACTGGCCCACTTGTCACCCAGACATCCAGGGAGCCCATGGGAACATGAGCCATTTGTGGTAAATATATTGACACCACAGGTGCCTGAAATTATTCCCAAGGTCTGTTTTGTTTAGTAATTTTCCCCATACTATGGAAGGAGCCCTAGACTGTGAGAGTCAGAAGATCACATATGGCCACTAACTGCTGTGGCACTTTGAGTAAATCCTAGAAATATTTGGTTTTCTCATCAGTAAATTAAGAGGCTTAGCTAGATGATCTCTAAGGTCCCTCTAGCTCAAGATTTCATACTTTACTACTTTGTTTATAGAATCGAGTTGTAGCTTTTCATTTTAAATGCTGGGCCCCACCAGTGACTTAGTCTTAAGCACACATACGTTTTCCAATGCTTCCAGAACAAGGCACACTTTCTAGACCACTGATATGTCCTTCTCTGTGATATAAGTGAGAAGGAGTTTGTGGGCCCACTGAATCCTACCTCCCTGATTCCTGTGAAGCCCATTCAGCATTATGAAGAGCTCATCCCAGGGCCGCCTTCGGTAGCGTGCATTGACAATTTGACAATTTGGACATGGTAGTCACTTATTTTTTAAAGTTCAAAGATGGCAATTCTGCAACAATTAGAGAGCTGTGTGTCCTATTTGTTCAAAATTGCTTCATTTTCTTAAAAGCAAATCATCTTGCTACACAGAGCATGGTTCATGGACCACAAGGCTCAGCATCACTGGGGAGCTTGTTAGAAATGTGGAATTTCAGGCTCCATCTAGAACTGTTGAATCAGAATCTTCATTGTAACAAGATCCCCAAGGAATTTGTATGCACATTAAAGCTTGAGAAACACCACGGTATCACACATATGCATACGTGGAATTATATTCAATGCCAAAGATACAAAAAAGGGGGAGGACCACAAGTTCTCAGATGGAGATTAGTTATGACCTTTACCTTGGTGACCTTCAGTGTTCTCATATATATATAATGGACCCTAAACAATATATCACAGTATTTTTACTCTGGAATGCTTAAGGGAACCTCAAAAGAGAAGGAAAGTCACCCAAGTCATTTAAGAACTTTCCACTTTCTCAAGAGTAGTGGTATGATTTCCCAGGAAGAATGTCTAACAGCAAACAACATTGTGAAGGAGAAGGTAAAGGGGCTCTGGTAAGCACTAACAGGGAGTGGCCAGAAAATGCAGGGCAAAGAAGGGGGAAAAATTGAATGGCAAGCTGAGCAAGGGAAAAAGTCAAAGATAGGGGAGTGGCTAGCAGTATCGGAAACTATGAGGAAACTGTCAGAGCTTGGTGTGAACACTCCCCCTTGCAGTTTCAGCAAGTAAGAAGTTCATGATGATGTAAGCAAAGAATTTCCAGCACACACTGAGCCAAGCCATCTGATTGTGATGAGTTGAGATTTAGGGAAGTGGGGATCAGAGATAGAAAGATAAGAGGAATCTGAGAAATGGGGTGATCACTAGAGAGGAATATAGGAAAACACAAAGCCACCATCCCAATAATGGGAAGTCTAAGATTCAGAATTCCTGAGCAACTGATCAAATTAAAACTCACATTATCATAGGAACTTGCTCATTCACTCACTAAATCATAGCTGAGAAGTAACTTTGCTTTTGAGAGAGATCCTTGTAGGTGAAAGTCATCTTCCAGTAGTGAGATGTTTGTTAGTGCCATCTTTTTTGTTTTTATCTTTAGTTTTTCTTAGTTTGCATTCTTTCTCCTTATCATGAAGATGATGTGGTTTTATCCCTCCTGTAAGTTATTTAAAAGATGAGTTCAAACTCCTTTGGCAGATTTTCTGCTGAATGTCTTCTGACAACTTCACTGAGATTTGCACTGAAAGTCATTGAACTCAAACTAGTCTCCAACCACAGATAGATAGCCCATAGGCATTCAAGTTTATTTTCCCCTTTCAAAAAGATCTGGAGATGTCATTATAGGGGAAGAAGGAAGAAAGGAATTCAAGAAGAAGCAAAATGAAAGAAAATCTGGCTTATGGAAGAGAGGTCTTCCTATTACAGTAATAATAATGCCAATAACATATATGGATTCCATGTACATATAGAGGGAAGGAGAGCAAACTTTACCTTCCAGCAATATAAAATTGTACTCAATTAGATAATCAAGTAAAGAGAAGAGTCCCTCCCTCTATAATACATATCACTCATAGACTGCCACTCTTCAGAGCTCTTCGTTCCTCCTTAATATTCAATTTTAGATGATTCACAAGATACTCAGTTATCTTCCAGTATATTCTGTCACTTTTTATAAGCAAAATTATCCAGGCCGTATCCAAGGGAGTGAATCAAACAGTGTGCCAATCTTCTCCCAATTTTGCAATGTTTTTATTCTGGAGTGTCCAAGGCAGCTTTGAAAAAAGAAGACTCACCTAAGGACAGCTAGAGGGCATGTGCCTCAGGGAGAAGTGGAAACCCCACCCCTCTTAACCCAACTGATCATTTTCTAACCTGAATTTGTATGTGCGTATCATGTTTTCGCTCATTATAAGTGTATGTCAGTATGAAACTCAGAGCTGTTCTTTGTGCTGGTTTGGAACATCTTTTTTTCTGTCTTCTCCTGCACTCCACCCTTGTTCCTTCCCCTCCTTCCACAACTCAGACATTGTTATTAATAAGCAGATTGGGGTCATCATTTTGATACACTGTTGTTTGATTGATAGAATCATTTTTTCAATCAATAAGCATCAACTGAGCACTTCATAGGCATTAAACAGTATACCAGCTGCTGGATTTAAAGTTGTAAGTGGCAAAACCCATGGCCTTAAGCTACCTAGAGTGCAGCTAGCAAGACAGATAAGCAAATACTCTGAGCTAGAGAGGTCTCTGATGCTGCCCTGGGAAACCTAATGGTCAATTAAGTTATGATGTTGTGGGTGAGAGGACAGTGAGAAAGTCTATTGCTACCAGAGTCATTACCTGTAGGTTTTGTCATGTCATCTTACGGAATACTTTATGGTCCATGTGAACTACTGTCTTGCCTTCTTGTAAGGAAATACCTAAGTTCTGCATCATGTAATTCCATGGGCCTTCTTTGCTTTCTCCTTGCCCTTTACCTGCCAGTACCCTAATCATCCTTGATGACCTATCTCCCACAGCTCCTCCAGCCAGATAGGTTTGTCCCTTCTTCCAACCTCTACAGTTTTTCATTTCTATGAAGTTGTGTTTACTTTTGGAGAATATTCTCCATTTTTACAATTAGACTGTAAACTCTTGGAGAATATATGTTTCATCTTCATAGCCATATGCAGTATCTAGTGGACTGCCTTGAACAAATGGGCAGTAAATAACTCCCAGCAATGAAACTAATATAAACCTGTATGTTGACTCTACTGGAATTAAAATAAAATAAAGAAAAAATAAATCACAACAAATGTTAAGTTAAACTGCTCCAAATTTATATTGTATATTAAATTGTATACTTGATTTTACTTTGGCATTCAGTGCTAATATATGTTGAAACAAACTCCAAGTTCTAATCCTGTTTCTGATTAATATTTATCTAAATAATGGCCTTCTACTACAATTGAGTTATGTCCTTCAGTGATACTTTAGATCTAAATTTATTTTTGCATTGTCTTAAATGTCATCAGACGATTCATATCTTGGGTTTTTTAAATATCCTTTGAATGGATATATGAAAGTAAGCAAGTGTCATCAGAATGTGATGCTGTTTTTCAGTTCAACATTTCTTTGATGAAATATTTGTTTGTGGGCTTTTTCTGCTATAATTCTTTTCCAGATGTGGTCTCACAAATCACTTCAGAAGTTAGTCCATTTCAAAATATTGTTCTTTTGTGTTTCTTCACTTCATAGAAAATCAGAACTGTTCCTTAAAACCACAGCAAATGATTAAGCAAATTAGATAAAGTAGAATCATTGACTCCAAGATATAACCCCCCAAGAAATTCAAATTATTTTTTTAAACTTCCCATATCTTCTCCATTGTGTGGGGAATGACCTTGTTGCAGGAGTGGCCCCCAAGTACACTACCAGGCAGGCAACCAGCCCCAGAAGTCATGAAACAAAAGGGCTCCCAGACCAAATTAAAACACTTAAATCACATAGATTATTAAAATCAGTTGAAGCACACAGTGGGAAGCCAGGGGGAAAGCCATGAGGTAAGAGAACCACACTTCAGACTGAGTATAAGCAGGCTAGAAGGGCCACACTGCTTGAATTCTGGAGTACACAGTATTTATATGTCCTCCCTCTACTGCATCAGGTTTTGCCACCAATAGTGTGCTTACAAGGACTAGAGTTGGGTTTCCAGCAAGGGAGCCAGAAATTGGTATGCCTGAGCCTATGACACACACTTTATCAGACACCGAGTCAAGGATGCACAGCCACAGTTGTAGCTTGCTCATGAGCCTGATAAATAATCATGTAATTCTTAGGCAGAAGATTTGCAGACCTAAAATGGGTGTCACCAGTAGGTGGCTGAATTAAGATCTTGTAGAGGTTGGGGGCACCTGGGTGGCTCAGTTAGTTGGGTATCCGACTCTTGATCTCAGCTCAGGTCTTGATCTCGGGGTCATGAGTTGACACCCCACACTGGGGTCCACATAGGGCATAGAGCCTACCTAAAGAAAAAAAAAAAAGACCTTATAAACATTAAATGCACATGTGTATTTATTTTATCTTGAATATTTAGTGCCTCATATATCTAGTATCTCTTGTATATTTGGTCTCATGTATATTTAGTATATTATGAAAATTTAGTGCCCAGGTGCCTTATGAATACTAGGTATCTTTTGGTCTTTCCATCCCTCACTATGTTTAACACACACATGCTCTACTTGTTAACTACTTACTTTATACTTAACACATTCTGTGAATTATGCTGATGTCTAACAAACTATTTCTTACTACCTAATTATACCAAAAAAATCTTAAAAGGTATTGCCAGTGTTTTACAAACTCAAACTTATTCATCTAAAATTACTGAATATTCACAAAAGCAAATACACATTATAACCCAATATGTATTCTTTGTTTATTTCTGTTGCATGTTTCCTTTTGACCACAAGTCCTTGGTTATTGAAAAATCACAGGCTGTAATATTTGAGCTGGATTTGCTATCAACCCTAGTAATCTTTGTAAGCACATGAAGAATACTTTTCTCATTATTTTGCTCAGGTACGCTGTGATGCTGATAACTCTCCATCCCAGTTTTTTTTTTTTGAAGATTTTATTTATTTATCTATTCGACAGAGAGAGATCACAAGTAGGCAGAGAGGCAGGCAGAGAGAGAGAGGGGGGAAAGCAGGCTCCCTGCTGAGCAGAGAGCCTGATGCGGGGCTCAATTCCAGGACCCTGAGATCATGACCTGAGCTGAAGGCAGAGACTTAACCCACTGAGCCACTTAGGCACCCTCCATCTCAGTTTTCATCCCTGTGTGGGCTAATTGGTTTTACTTAACTTGGACCACCTGAGATGCTACTGGGCCACATGTTTCCCAAATAGCTGTCTTGGGTCACAGGTATGAGTATATACACGTGCCAAAGAAATTCACTGCTACTTAGAAAACAGTAGCAAGCCTGTGTTATTTTATTTTACTCCCTGAACAGAACCCTCAACAGCTCCCAACTGCCCTCAGGATAAGAGTAGCTTGTAACTCTAGTGGTGTGCTGGAACTTGCTCATAGAGGCTCCTAAGAGCCATCACTTTCCACTAAGGTCTTTGTTCAGTGACATCAAGCTGGGAACTTGAAATCAGCTAAATTGGGAGTATTGACACCCCAGAAATTGGCAAACACTACAATTAGGCCTGTGCCCCAACAGCACCAGTGCTGGTCATTAACCATTTACCAAGATGCCATTGCGTATGTGGCCCTTCATGCTCCCACCCCATGTGATCCCTCAAGCCCCATTCTTTTTTTTTTTTTAAGATTTTATTTATTTATTTGAGAGAGAGGCAGTGAGAGAGAGCATGAGCGAGGAGAAGGTCAGAGGGAGAAGCGGACTCCCCATGGAGCTGGGAGCCCGATGCAGGACTCGATCCCGGGACTCCGGGATCATGACCTGAGCCGAAGGCAGTCGTCCAACCAACTGAGCCACCCAGGCGTCCCAAGCCCCATTCTTTTTTACTGAACTCCACAATCAAATGAAATATCTTTTATTTTTCTCTCCCTCCATGCAAAGAGTGCTGCTTGGTTAGTGGGTCTTTCGGAGGTGCTGAAAGCACGAGAGCGGATCCCTAAAGAGTGGAATTAAAGTCCTATAAAAAGGGATCTGAAGAGCTCTCTGACCCCTCCCAGCACATGTAAACACAGACCAGAGGTATCAGCCATGAATAGGGAAGAGGGCTCTCATGGAATGTGACTGGCTGGTGCATTGATCTTGGACTTCCCAACCTACAGAACTATGAAAAATAAGTTTCTGATGTTTCTAAGCCACCCAGTCTGTGGTATTTTGAAACAGCAGCCCCAATAGGGACACAAGGGAAAAAGAACCCAGGGCCACGGACTGGCCTGGCTCTTTTCCAAAAATCCTAAAATAGAAGAGGCCCAGCATCCAGCTGGTACCAAGGACCAAGAAACAGAGATTCTCCCCACCAGCTACCAGCTAGTACAGATTACAGTCCTATTTAATGCGAAGTGCTTAGATTAGGGAAGACCTCCAAGAAAGTGGCTCTAGTGAGCAATTGAATCAACTGGAAACTTAAAAACTAGCCAGGCAGCCTTCCAGGCTACTGCTATCAAACTCTGGGGGGTGGGGAAGCTCACTTATCAGCGTTCTGGGTTTTTTTTTTATTATTACTATTCCTTGTGATTGCAGTCCAAAGTTGAGCCCCAACTAAGTACTCTGACTTTCATATTCTCTCCTTCTAGCATAGGTAAGAATTAAGGGCAGAGATGAACAGCCAGCTTTCTACACTCTTAGACACGTATATCGTCTCATTGGTAATTTGTGAATAGTTGCATATATTAGCAAAGCTTGACTGCAAAAAATTCTCCTCCCACACATTCTGATCCCATCTTGACACCGCATAACTGTTGGCGAAGGCAATTTCAACAATGAAGAAGTGGGAGAAATGACTACATTTTATGTAAATATGTGTGCATTTAAAATCCAAAAGACATATGTAACGATGTCATTTAAGATTTTAAATGAAGGACAATACTTAAAATAAGATTCCTCTGTAATCAAATTTCTCAGCAGTAGAAAACATTGTCTTTTCTTTACAGCTATTAAACATATGGCTAAGAGAATCTTAGACTACAAGCCTTAAGATGTGGAATCTGACTTCATATTAATGCATACAGTTTATCGTGCCATCATGTGCTTTCCCATTAGATTTGAAGACTAGCTCTTGCTCCCTTTTTAAACTTAAAGACAGTTGCTATGGGATGTCAATTATATGATACTCCATTGGGCTTGATTATGTGATGATTGTTAATGCACTAAAGTACTTGTATATTTCTTATATACTAATAGATTTCTTAAAAAGGGTAAGTCCCAAAATGGCCCGAGAAGGGTCTTTCTACTTAATCTTTCTGTCTTTGGACAAGGGACACACAATCTCTTATAACTGTTTATCTATTTCTACCTTTAAAGAATATGGACCAGGTGGACACCGTGGACTATATGGTGTACGTAAATGAACATCTCAAATGATGCATGTGTCCAAAAGAGGATCAATGATGAGGGAGAGGATGGTAATGTTCCTTCAGAGCTGCTCAGCTCAGCGTGTCCCCTTCCTGCTATGCTGCTATAGCACTGCTTCTCACAAGGTGAACAGGGATCGGAATCCCCCAGAGAGCTTGTTAAAGCACAGACTGCTGGACCCCACCCTAGAGTTCGATCTGTTTGGTCTGGAATGTAGCCTGATCATCTACTGCCCTAACAAGTTCTCCAGTGGTATTACTGGACCTGGGACCATAATTTGAAAACCACTGCTCCTGACCAAGGGGAAGCATTCTGTGCTTGCTAGATTGCCCTAAGCCTTTTTTTCCAGTTTCACAGGGACCCTCCTGTGCAGTAGCATGCTTCCTCCCATCCCTAATAATAATCATCATCATAGCAGTAGGTAGTATTTCTTGAGTCCTAAGTACCAAACACTGTACATACAGCACCACAAACCTTTGGAGGAGGCATGGTTATAATCTCCATTTTGCAGGTGGGGAAACAAATCAGAAATTTACCAAAGGTCTCGTAGCCAAGATGAGACCCAAACTCATGTCTGTTTAACTCCAAAGCCTGGAATCTTAATTTGTTCTAGATAAGCTCATTTTTTTCCTTTGATTTTTCACAACTAAAACATTCTGAACACAAGGCTGAGGGTAGCAGCTGGACTTGAGGGAGCAGCCCAGTTAAGCAGGCAGTATGCTGGCAGGGCAGGATGAGGTACGATCCTGAGCATCTTAATCAAGGAAGAAGCCAGTGACTGTCTCCTCCCCCAAGGCCACCCTGGCTGCCATCCCTCCTTCTATCCAGCTTCTAAGAAATAACCAGCACTTCTATCAACAGGATCCAGAATTTTCTGTATGCAGGACAGATGCAGATACATCTGTACAGTACACAGTGTAATTTTAGATACTATTTAGTCTTCTTGGAATGATACAAATATCATGTCAAGAGGGCCTTTATGGGGCGCCTGGGTGGCTCAGTGGGTTAAAGCCTCTGTCTTCGGCTCAGGTCATGATCCCAGGGTCCTGGGATCGAGCCCCACATCAGGCTCTCTGCTCAGCAGGGAGCCTGATTCCCTCTCTCTCTCTGCCTGCCTCTCTACCTACTTGTGATCTCTGTCTGTCAAATAAATAAATAAAATCTTTAAAAAAAAAGAGGGCCTTTATGATGTGAGTCATAAAAGAACTTCAGACCTTAAATTATATGTCAGTTATTTATTTTTGTCCTTCCTGTTAAGTGACAGATCTTTATATAAATGTTTTATCGATACTTTTCTTTAAGGAAATTTCTCTTCTTTTTTTGAGTTAACACATTATATTTACTCATTTACAATTTTTACCTTAAATACAGAACATCCAATTATGAAACTTCCCTGGGGTTTGGCACTTGCTGCTTTGGTTTTAAGAACTCTGACCTAGCCCAGGAAACTGAAATTGTTCGATACATATGGAGTTAGAACTGAACCTAGAGGAATTCTCCAAAACTCGAGTTTCTATGTCACGGTTTTCTAGCCTTAGGTAAGATTTCACTTTAAAATCTGAGGGATGAATTTAGTTTATAGGCAAAGAAATACAGGAAGTTTGGCAAAGTCTATCAAATCCTGTGAATATAGTACGTGCTTCTGTTTCCTTTGCTACCACTTGGAGTACGAAAGCCCGTATGCCATTTGGTGCATGCCAATGGGGGGCAGCACCTAATGCCATGTAGAACGGATGCTGTAGATACAGCATCAGTATCTGCTTAGCTTCAAGGTGCTGGGTGGACACATGGGCCAGGCATGAAGTGCCAGGTTACTTTAACCAAAAAGCAATAAGGAATGAGAGTAGGTCAGTACAACTTCGAGCTTTCTCTCCTATCACTGGGATAGTTGCAAGGCATGCTCCACGGATTGTCAGAGGGTCCCCAGGAGCACTGAGCCCCAGCTTCCCACATCTGTAATCTACTCAATAAAG